ATTATTATTAAGCGTCACTAGTCTGGTTTATCAGTGTGATGCAGTCTGTGACCTCATTTAGAGCTGTTATACAGCTCAGCTACGTTAAAACATGCACAGCTCCCATAATGCACCCTGATGATCATGTGACCTTTGTGGACCAATCGGATTACTGACTGTGAGTCAGAGCCTGTATAAAAGCAGCAGCTCAGCCTTCCTTAGTCCTTTCCCGAAGAGAATCTGAGGATAACATGGCGGCTCCTGCTCATCCACGGTGGGTTCTGGTTCTGGTTCTGGTTCAGTTAATCCAGAGGCTCTGATCCATTCAGGCTGATTTATGCAGCAGTAGAGCGCAGGTTAATTGATGGTAGCCCCGATGTTAAACACGGAGGAGCCGGTGGAGGGTTAAAGCCGCACTTGGAGCTAGTTTATTAGCTTAGCTGTGTATGCTAACAGGCTAACCCACGTGCCGGGTCTTCACGTGTTCCCCTCAGGTCCAGAGGAAAAGGAGTCCTGGTCCGGACCATAATCCCGGTCCAGCTTAGACCGGATGATCCAGTTGGCGCAGCGGTTCTGGATGACTGCTGAACGGTCCGGTTCTGGCTGGTTCTGAAGGCAGCAGCCATCTTGGCTCCTCCTGGTCGGGTCCACGTGCTGCAGGTGAGTTAGGGAGCAGGTCCTCCTCCTCCAGGCTCCTATCGAAGCCGGTCCTGCTCTCCTGTAGCAGCCGCCGGTCAAACGGAAGCCCAGATGAAGCCTTTCACCGACGGTCGCTGCTCAGCGGACCAGTGGCTGTTCAGCAACATTTAGGGAAAGGACACTCGGTTCCCCTCCGCCCTGGGGCCGCTTCTATTGGTTCTCACGCTGTTTGTCTACAGGTGACGCTGCAGGAGGAGGAGGGCAGCCGCCTGGTCCGGTCCGGAGGAGAAGGAGGGCCGCCTGGTCCGGTCCGGAGGAGGAGAAGGAGGGCCGCCTGGTCCGGTCCGGAGGAGAAGGAGGGCCGCCGGTCGGACCCCAGCCTGAGGTGAGCTTCCAGGCCGCTGGTTCTGATCCAACTATCCAGGCTGTGATGATAAACTTGCCCTCACTGATCATGGTTCTGACTGAGTTCTTTTCTCTGAGCCCGGTTCTTCTCCACTGAGGTGAAGGTTCTGGTTCCTGATTGGTGACCAGGTGTCTGTGTTTCAGGTGGTGGAACCGGAGCGGCTGGAAGGAGGCTGCAGATCCAGGTTTGTTCCTCAGAACCCTGCATTGCTCAGCATGTCATCCTAAGGAGGGGAGCTCCTCCATAGCTCCTGCTCCTCCAAGTTCATGCCAGATCAGAGGGCGGCCTTTGACTGGGAGGCTCCTCTGCCTCCTGCAGCCACTCTGCCGTCCAACATCTCCCCTTCTCTCCCTGCCGTCCAGCACCTCACCTTCTCCTTTCCTCCTGCAGGCTGAAGCCTCTGAGCTCCAGATGAGTGGAGGAGCGTCTCCAGGAGGCGTGTGAAGGTACGCTCCACAGACCGTCAGGTTCTGATCCATGATGACCTCTAGGAAAGGCAGACTGCTGGATGAAGCCTGCGGATATGGGGCTGAGATCAGACTTTAGATGTTCCACGATTGTTCTGGTCCACATTCACTGCAGCTCTTTGTTTCTAGGTGCTGAAGGAGGAGCTCCTCCGTGGAGCCGCGCTGTTGACTCCTCCCTCCAGAGGAGAACCTGAAGGAGGTCCTCCATGTGGCTGCGCTGCTGACTCCTCCCTCCAGAGGAGAACCTGAAGGAGGTCCTCCATGTGGCTGCGCTGCTGACTCCTCCCTCCAGAGGAGAACCTGAAGGAGGTCCTCCATGTGGCTGCGCTGCTGACTCCTCCCTCCAGAGGAGAACCTGAATGGAGGGGCGCCAAAGTTTGGAAAATATTGGAAATGAAACTAAATAAAGTTGAACTGAAATAAAATGTGTATTTATTTGGTGGGGGGGGGAGTTCTACTGGGGGTCCATGAGGTTACAGGGCTTTGCTCTATGGCGCCATCTAGAGGATAATGGTCAGAACCTTTAATGAGCGGAGCTTCAGGTGTTCTGAGGATCAGAGATGGATGCAGGTCCACTGCTGCCCTCAGCTTCTCTATCGAATGCTTTAAAATAAACTGAGGCCTTAATTGGTATTAAAATGTCTTAAATCAATGTTGTAGGTCTTAATTTTTTAAACATCACAAATGGGATTATTACGAGTTTTTATCTAAACATTAAAACTGACTTTATGGCTCGCCATTATTGGTTCTGTCCTGATAGCGGAACCAATAAAGTGTTGTTGCGGCCGGGACATTAGGGAGATGCACCATTAACTTTGGAAAATCTGAGCAAGTGTAAATGTAACATTGTCTCCAGAGTTTCCTCCATGGCTAAAACCAGGGAACATGAGGCTCAGTGGATTTATGCAAGAAGTCATTCAAGCTCAGAACGATGGGAATGAAGGCAGTGGAGTCACACATGCGAAGCGTCAAAATGGAGTTGGAGAGAAACAGCCGGTATTTCTCAGTTTAGTTCCACCCTTGTCTCTGCAACGCCTCCACTTATCACCAAATCAAACGTACTAAGAAAACCATACAAAGAAAAATAGCTGCAATAAGACTTAGCACTGGTTATGTTGGGGCTTTAAAACTGATTTGTTTTGTTCCCTGCTAAAACAGTTTCTGAATTCAGTTCAATAATTGTTCAAATATGTATTTAGCTTTCGTGTATGGGAAACTTTTCTAAATTTGAAACAGTGCAGTGGTTTGTTAAAATAAACCTTTGGGTTAAGTTGTCACAAGCAGGTTTTTCTTTTGAATTTAGTCCTACATTTTTATTTCAAGTGGCATTAAAAAGTCTTAGTGTTGAATTTAACTTATGCTGCAGGAAGCCTGTTATCTGTCCTGGGTTAGGAGACGATCATTCTGGCGGTTGGAGCAGAGCGCTAACCGCTCCGAATAGCAACTGAGGGCTAAAGCCTGATGCTCCAACCAGGTCGTCTGTCACAAAGGTCAGATTGCAGGGGGCCTGTGGTCAATCATCCGCTCCATGCCATGCGTGGTTCCTGTTTGACCGCCATTGTGGAAAACTACTTTAGGGCGTTCAGAGGAGGAGAAATGGGCTCATGCATGTGTTCAATCGCGTTCCCTTAACTGTGACCCAAAGACGGTTCTGATCCGATTCATCCTATCAACCATTTATTGACAAAGCATCACTCAAACGTTCATAAAAGCTGCAGCGGGCCGAACCGGGTCTTCATGCAGAATCTGTAACCGGAGGGAACCTCAGCTCGGCGATCTCTGAGTCGGGGCTGCTGCTGCTGCTCCGGTCGCTGTACATGTCTCTGTGGAGGACAGCCAACGTCACACTGGGCTCTAGGAGCAGAGAAGAAGAGCTGGGAGGGCTGGTTACCGTGGAGACAGGCGGCAGCCTTTCTGGAGGTAGCTCTGCAACTTCCCTGCAGCCGCCAGCAGCAGGCCCAGGTACGGCGGCGACGGCTTGATGGGGCGGGACGTGAACTCTGGGTGGTACTGCACCCCCACGAAGTACGGGTGATCTGAAAGAATCACAGGTCAGAACCCGCCGCCGACCCACTCGGCCCAGGCGTCACGGCGCCGACCCGTTTGGCCCAGGCGTCATGGCGCCGACCCGCTCGGCCAAGGCGTCATGGCGCCGACCCGCTCGGCCAAGGCGTCACGGCGCCGACCCGCTCGGCTCCTCACCTTCCAGCTCGATGATCTCCATTCGCTCTCCTTCCACATCCTGACCCACGAAGCGGAAGCCCTGATCCTCGAAGTGACGCTTTAGCTCCGGGTTGACCTGAGAGGCAGAACCAGAACCATGAGAGGCAGAACCAGAACCATGAGAGGCAGAACCAGAACCATGAGAGGCAGAACCAGAACCATTAGAGGCAGAACCAGAACCATGAGCAGCAGCCCCCATCCTCCTCATCATGGCAGAACCAAACGGGCCCGTGGTCGTGCAGAATTCCGGACCGACCCATTTGGTTGAGGTGTGTTAAACCAGGCTTAGAACCCGTCACTGAGCAGAACCTTTCTGTGGGTTCTGCTGCAGCCCGGCCCGTCTGGTTCCTCCTTTCAGCCAGCAGCAGGTGGGGGAGGGGCAGTCTTACCTCGAAGCGGTGCCGGTGCCGCTCCTCCACATATTCTGCGTCTCCATAGAGTTTCCCTGGAAGACAGAGCAGATGTCAGCAGAACCGGGCCGGGGGGCGGTCCAACAGGAAGGGGCGGGGCTTACTCAGAACGCTGTTGCCGGTTGTGAAGATGGTCCGCCTCTTCCCCAGCCTCATGGTTCCGCCCATCTGGCCCGGGTTGTGTTCCGGCATGTCGATCACCTGGGGGATCAGAACCGACAGTTAGGCCCGGTCCAGCGGGGCGAACAGAGCCGTGATGGATGTGAGCAGAACCCACCACAGGATGCTTGGATTCCGGGTCAAACTCGGTGGAGTTGGCATCTAAAGTCAGACAGAAAGTTCTTTTGGGTTAAGTTCTGTTGGGTTTCCCCAAAAGCGGACCGGATCTCCAGAACAGAACCTACCTGACCAGCCCAGAACGTTCCTGGCGTACTCACAGACGGCCAGCTGCATCCCCAGACAGACGCCTGAACAGAACATCAATTCAATTCAGTTTATTTATATAGCGCCAAATTCACATCATGTCATCTCAGGTCACTTTCCAGTTCAACCAGATCATACAGTCAGATTGATTCAAAGTTTTCTATCTAAGGAAAACCAGCTGATTGCATCGACTCATTGACTCAAATACAATCCCTTATCACATCAGCAGTCAGACGGCTGGAGGCGGTTCTGCCCGACCTGACCCGACCCGACGGCCCCGCTTACCTAGGAAGGGTTTCCTCTGCTTCCTGGCCCAGCTGATGGCGTGGATCTTCCCCTCGGTTCCCCGAACGCCGAAGCCTCCAGGAACCAGGATGCCACTGAACCCAGAAGGACCACAGAGTAAAGTTCTGACCCGTGAGACCAGTAGAGTTCTGACCCGTGTGGTGAAGGTGAGGAAGCAGAACTCACTCGGCGCTGCACAGCTTCTGCCAGGCCTCATGGTACTTGACCGGCTCGTCCTGCATGGTACCGGGCTCCAGGTACGCCGAGTCGATGTACTGCAAGGAGGAGAGCTGGTTATGGAGCGCGTTCACAGCCACCGCTGTCAGCTCAGCGTACGCCATCGGACCGCCGGGTTCTGCCCCCCCAGCGGGAACAGGACCCCCCGGCCCGGTGGAACCTGCTAACTCCAAACAGACCGGTAAGCCAGAACTAGAGAAGCAGAACCCGGGGTCAGTGATGGCCCTGTTCTGTCCTCGGCCCGGTCCAAATGCTGTTAGAACCGCTCCAAAGGAGAACGGGCCCGCAGCCCCCCCCGGGCGGTTCCTGACCCACCTTGACCTCCAGTCTGTGGCTGATGGCCAGAGCCGAGTGCTCCAGCGCCTTGATGACCGAGGCGTACGAGTCGGAGAACTTGGTGTACTTCCCCACCAGAGCGATGGAGCACTGCTCCAGCAGCCGGTCCGACCTGCAACCACATCAGAACATTGGAGCGGCACCGCCCAGACATGGCGGCCCGTTCCCAGCTGCCGGGTCCCACCTGTCGGACATCTCCTTCCACTTGGCCAGCATGGTTCTGGGCTTGGTCTGGATGGGCATGTTGAGCCTGCTGCTCAGGTAGCCCACCACGCCCTGCTCCTCCAGCAGCAGCGGCACTCTGTAGATGGACGACACGTCGTGGACGCAGATGACCTGCAGACACACGGCGCCGCTTCAGAATCACACAGCTTTGACACCTGCTGGTTCCAGGAACATGGACCCACCTGCTGAGGTTCTACATGGCAGAACATGGAGATCTTCTCCTTCACTGAATTCTCCAGAGCGGTGGAGCAACGGCACATGATCTGCAGGAGGAGACGGAAGAGGAGGATGAGGCCTTCTGGATCCGACCAGCAGCTGAAGGTCCGAACCACGGCTTCACTTCTAGATGGTTCCACTGACTTAATCAGGAACCAGATCAGGTCTAAACCTTT